AAACATTCTGATTCCAAGAGAACAGAGAGATTCTGGTCACGTTCCACTGCTGATGAGTCAGCACTTGGGTGATATCTCCTCCGGGTTTAGAGTGTTTCCCCGAATTCCATTGCTTTTTGTCCATTTATCCCAGAGTGTGAAAGGTCATGTTCATCATAAAAGTTGTAGGATAGATCTGAGAGCACTCCCTCTGCTCTCCGTCTTCCCTTTGAGTTTGTTTGTTGACTATCAATAATTCTTTATTCATTTATTTCTATTGAGATATAACTTACACGCCATAAAATACACCATTTAAAGTGTATAATTCAGTAGTTTTTAGTGGCTTCACACGATTGTCTTCCCTTTGTTTTATTTTTTTTATTTCCTAAGAAAAGGGGACAGCCTTCATTACCCACATTGAGCCAACATATATTTACTGAGCACCTAAGACATCAGATAAAAATCCCTGCCCTCATGAAGATTGCATTCTAGTGAGGAACACAAGCAATAAATAAATAACTAGTAAATGATAGAGGATGTCAGAGGGGACAAGTGACATGGAGAAAAGGACAGTAGGAAAAAGACAAGGTAAACCAGTTGGTGATGGGTGGGAGGGAATTGTGATTTTAAATTGGGTGGTTGGGAAATGTCCCATAAGAAGGTAACACCGAAGCAAACATTTAAAAGAAATGAAGGAGCAAGTCACATGCTTATCTGGGGAAAGGTGTCCAGGCAGAGGAAACAGAATGAGCGCAGAGACCCCGAGGTGAGCAGCATGTTCTAGAAACAGCTGAGGCCACTGGCTGGAGCTTAATTAGTGATGGGAAAAATAGTAGGAAATGAGGTCAGAATGCCAATGGCAGCTACATCAAGTAGGGTCTTGAGCCAACTGAAAAGACTTTGGCTTTTATTCTGAATAAGGAGGGGAGCTGCTGTAGTTTTAAGCCGAGAAACACCATGAACTGACTGGCTTTGAGCCGGATCACGCTGGCTGCTGTGTGCACTGCAGAAGGCAAAGGAAGGAGATGGGCTAGTTAGGAGGCTAATTGCAATCATCCAGGTGGGACAGGGTGTGGCCTGGGCCAGGTGGCAATGGTAAAGAAAACGAGAAACGGTCAGATTCTGGATACATTGTGAATGTAGACACAACAGGCTTGGCTGATTGATAAAATGTGGGGTGTGAGAGAAAGAGAAGTCAAGGACGACTCATATAAAATCTGCAGTGCTGGGGCCGGCCAGGTGGTGCACTGCTACAGTGCGCCACTTGGGAGCGCAGTGGCGCTCCCGCGGAGGGTTCAGATCCCACATACAGACCAGCGGCTCACTGGCTGAGCGAGGTGCGGGCCCAACACTGAGGGTTGCGATTCCATTGCCGGTCCCGGTCCGGTACGGGTGCGACACTGAGGGTTGCGATCCGTTGTCGGTCACGAAAAAAAAAAAAAAGACAAAAAGGAAAAAAAAAAAATCTGCAGTGCTGAATGGTAACAGCCAATTAGTGGAGCTGGGTAGGTGGGTCCAGTAGGGGAGCTTGGTGTACTGCATTTATCCCACAGGAAAGTTAAACATTTAGGCCTGAAGACATGTAAATTGTTCTGGAATTTCTCAAATTAGTAAAAGACAAAAAATGACTTGTTATCACGCTATTTCCAAAATATAATCCAGCTATTCAAGCATCAATTGCCAAATAGATTGTATGTATGATTTTATTTTTGTTTTGAAGCTAAAGATCATTACTTGCTTATTAACCAGTGGTCAAGTACCTTAACTGGGAAATTTAACACATTGCAATTGTTGCTGGAAATTAGCAAAGCGGTCAGTTCCGTTTGGGGTTATTCTTGCTGCCTAATTTAATTGTTCATAACAAAACTTTAATATACTAAACAGATTTATTTAAGTTAATTGCATCAACCATAATCTAATAATTGCTTTTTGTTCATAAACTCTGCATAGCACCATATCTGAATTTGGATATAAGCTTGTACTGTATCTAACTAGTACCAGATTGGGCTTATATCTTTCCAAATCTCCATTCAGAGACATCACTTTGGTGGCTTCAAAATCAGCCACAGCAGAAGGATTTACACCACAGAAAATTGACAAACTCAACAAATCAAGGCTTTGTTTTTCAGAGAGTGGGTTCCAGCACACCACTGGCCATGGCAGAGTGTAGTGTTAGAAATGCCAACTCTAGGGGCCGGCCCGGTGGCGCACTGCTACAGTGCGCCGCTTGGGAAGTGCGGCGGCGCT